GATATGGTGTAGTGGAATGGAAATGACAGTCTGTGCATGGTGGTGCTGTGTGGCTCACTGCAGGCCATTTTTTAACTTACGCTATGACACAAACATCTAAATAGTGGAAGAGAAGCAATTTTGACATTAATTTATTTACCATTAGTGGTTTCAAAGTCAAAGGCAGCAGAACTATTCAATCAAGATAGAATTGCTGTTGGATGGCTGGGTGTGAGTAGATTATAAAACACTCATTTGTGTTTTATCTAGTACTTTTTAAGGTTTTTCTGTTCCCTTGCCACAGCAAATAAGCTAAAATTTCAGTGACTTACTCTTAATTTCTCAAGTGAATTTATATAGACTTTGACTTTGAAGTACAATTTATGCTGTCTTGAGTGTTTCCTTGGAATTTTTTAATCATAGGATAGATATCTTGCATTGCAGTATTTTAAAGTATGGTTTCCTTTTCCATTTTGACTTAGCACTATCCATGAGATTTTCACTGCAAATAATTGATGTATAACAGCAATTTGAAGGATAGTTATTGAAAATCTTTTTGTAGATCACCTGAAGATGTAACATAATCAAATCTCTCTGGTTGTAACTTAAAATTACTATTTTGTCCTTATCCTCTTTGAATTGTCCCTTGCTCTCCACAGAGATGGCCACAGGAGTGTTTACATCTTTTCCCTTACCTAAATTCCTTATTTTTAATTTTTTTTTTTTTTTTCTGTGCTGGTTTTGGCTGGGATAGAGTTGGTTTTCTTCCAAGAAGTCTTCAGGAATGCCTTAGAGGGGAGTATCCTTGGGATTTCTGTGGGAGTTCAATACTTTTCTCCTAGATTCTGTTTTCTCTTTTCACCTCACTAGATCTCTGTTTAATCTCACCTATAAATCAAAATGGAACTCCCTGGAATTCATGAGAAGCAAGCATTTTAGTAAGTCTTACCTACTTTTGCTACAGCAGATGTTGGTCTATGCTTGCTCAATCTTTAAGGGGAGATTTTCACTTGGATCTGTTTGCCTTGCTGCGAGCTGTGTCTGAATTCCCAGAGTTTCTAACCTGTTTTTGTTGTTCTGGTATCTTTATGGGTACATACAGATGTGTATCGGCCTGTTATGGAACTGCAGTTTATCTTGCTAGTGTAATTGAAATGATTCTTCATACTAGAAAAGCTTAAAGATGAATGTTTAGTCTTATCTTAGATAATCAACAAGATGGGCTCTTCAGAGAATAAGCAAGGCAACAGAGATAAATTTTGGAGAATATCTGGCAGCCATGTATCTTTTGTAATCGAGGCTTTTAGTGTGTATGTCAGTATGAGTAAAACTGCAGCAGTCTGTATTGTGGATGCCTTTTCTTTAAAAGGGACCTTGAATATACTTTGGAGGCTGATGAACTCGCTTTTTCTGTCCTCATCATGCTAGTCAGGGGAATAATACTATGACCTCTAGCCTCCCTCTGTTTCCCCCATGGCTCATGATGTCCTTGTGCTTCTCCTGATACAAGTTTTCGTGTAGTTTATTTAAATATTCCATTTAATGCAAATATATTAATTGGTTCCACTCTAGCCAGGGAATTAGGAATATACTCCTTTGACATTTTAACTGTTGCTTTGGTAATTTATACTTTTAACTGCCCTTTCTGCCTGTTGATCTCATTTTTAAGACGTTTAGAATTTTTGAAATGATAGAACAAAGAAATACCCTCACTGCATTCTCCAAAGTTTACACATCTTGCTAAGGCTTGCCTTAGCTTTTCATGATCAGAAAACATACTTTAATGCAGATAGGAGAGTTTGTATTCAGGCCCTCAACCAAAAATGCTGGCTTGTAACATTTGTGTGCTGTACAGAGTCACTGTTTGCAAATTGTTAAATCTCTTTTTACTTTTCAAACTTGTGTCTTGTTTCCTTTTGTCTCCTTTATACATCCCATTGTGAATCTCTAGCCGTCAGTCTATGTTCTCATTGGTAAAAATGAAGGTATTAATTTTGCCCTGCTCTTACCCTCTTTCTCATTCCATAAAGATGAGGAGGATGGCTGTACCATCTGGCATGTAAACTTCACTTTGGGCCTTTCTCTAAATGTTTGTGTTTGATGTGTGGCCAAATCTTGCAGATTCTTTCTTTGAGACCTTTGTTAGATATGGCCTAGCATAGCCATTACCAGAGTTAAAATGTTCTCATTTTGTATCTAAATTTCAATAATTCCTTTTTCTTGGCCATTGCTATGTTATCTAGTCATTTAGAATATTCTGCAAGATCATTTTCCTGGTTTATAAAATCAAACCATATTTATGTATCTTACTTGCTTTCTTTCTATCTAAAACTTATTTATCTTTGCTGTTAAACTTTTCATGGCGTAAGTGCATTCTTGTATCATTCTTCATCCCAAGATACCTATTCCTGCTGTTAATTGGCTCATCATATGAGCCCACATTGGCCAGCTGTTAGTTTTCTTTCTATAAAGTCCCTACATTCCTTACAAACATATTTTTTAGAAAACCATTTTTCTCCTCCAAAGCTCTCCTTAAAGTCTTTTTGCTGTGATGTCTAAATAAAAGCTGGACAAGACTTATCTCCCGGTGTGCTAAGAATTCTGCCTGTTGAGCTGACCAATGTCAGATGTTAAAGAGAAAGGACTGGAGGGTAACTGTTCACTGTCTTTAGCTGATCTTCAGTAACTCTATAATAGTGCCTTGGCCGATGGGCAATGCAAAGGAATTGGGCTTAGGATCATTGCCCTTCATTGATTTCAAACTGCAGTTTTGGGTAGTGAAATATTTATTAACACTTGAAACTCTTCACTAAAAATGTGCCCTTTTCACCGAGAGCTAATGTAACTTGAATCACCTGGCATTTTCTGTGGGCACTGAATCCACACATGGACAGTCACCTGGCAGTTCCATGGCATGACAGTGCCTGCACAGTTCAGAGCAGACAGCCTGAAATTTAGGAGGCAGAAAGTGAAATACTTGTGTCTAGGGAGAAGGACTGAGAAGTACACAAAGTTTGAAAATGGAATTATACCTTGATTTTTCACTTATACTCTGTTTGTTTCTATGGTCTTGTGTGCTTTAAATGCTCTTCTGTAGTAGAGTATATACTCCACTGACCATAAAGTATTATTGATGCTTCTTCATAGAAAATAAGAGGTATTTGAGGATATGATTTCCCATATGCCTGTGGCAATTTCTTCCTGGAAATTCATCAGCCTTTTTGTCTGTTGTTTTCTTTGTACACTCTCTATTCTTTCCTTCCTGGGAAAGAGTTTGAGAGAGATTGTGACTAGTGAACTTGAAATCTGGAGGTGGGGTTAAAGTTCCTTTAAAAGTTCATGAAATGAAAATAAAGAAAATAGGTTTTTATTTTTCCCAAAAGAGTAATCTCACTGTTGTTTTTTCTGAGCTGCACTTAAAACTAATATGTGAAGCATAAAAATAATAGCTAATAATGAAATGTTTTAGGCATTATGCTGTATTTTATTCTCAAAGACATTTCAAAAAAGTCTATCTTTTATCTTGGTAGTTATTTTTCAGAGAAAAAAATTAAATGCATGAGTTTTTAACGAAATTGTTGTTGACTTTGGGCTTTATTTTAGTAAATGTATTTGTTCTTCCCTTTTATTTATGAAACTTTATTACATAGTGGACATTTAGAATTATGGAAAAACTGTACTAGAACCATTAGTGTTAATAGCTTAGTATTTTCGTCCTTCACAAATTAATGCCTGTGGTAACTGGATGATTTTAGGCCTGTTCTTACAAACAAGGCCTTAGTGATGTGCAAGGAACAGTAATACGTGTCAAAAACTCCACATTAACCAAGGTAAGCAAGAATAAATGGGGTGTAGGAATCCCCTGTTAGGCTAAAAATCTCCAAGAGAAAATCTCCAGAGCCTAAAAATTAAAGACCTCCAATATCATTTAAAAATAAAGCCTTTTATGTAGTAGGAGAGCATTTTTTCAGCTGATAATCAAATAACACTATTATACAGGCTTACTAGATTTGCAAATTTACAAGTTTTTACTAGTCAGTTGGGTCCCTTCCTCAGGAAATCAGTTGAAGTTTTTTTTTCCTGTATTAACTCAAAGAGCCTGCTTGTCCTTAAATCCTTCTGAATATATTTGCCTTATAATTTGACTACATTGAGTCAACACCCTTATAGGAACCGTAATGCAATAAAAAAAAGAGAAACTGTTCAATATAGTTTCCAATTACCTTAGGATCAGATTGGAGAAACTGGAATGTACACAATAAAACCTGCACAAGACTTGAATTCTGTGAGATTTTGGAAGCAGCCAGTGCTTTTCAGCATAAAATACCATTTGAAAGCTTTACTCTGCTTCCAATGGTTGTAAAGTGATAAAAATGAAAATATGTGAGTCTTGAAATGTGCATTTTACTTTTAAAAAGTTTTTGAACCACACCTTTGTGTAATTGAAAGTCTCATATGTAAGCAACTAAGCATCATTGCTTTTATTCAATCATTTTTTTATTATAGTGAATGTTTTTGCTTTGCCATGTTCTGCAGTAAAATTCTTTATAACTTATTTACATTTTTACTTTGGAAGAATATGTCAATTCAGATGTGCTTGGTGAATTTATTTGGTGAAAGTCTTCAGGTTACCCTGGAATCCCCAATATGCATCTTGCTTGCAAACAGAATATGGAATATTAGTTCTGTCTTGTTTTAATATGTAGCTAGCAGTAGAGTTATTACAAAGTATTTGAGTGTATCCAGAAATAAATTTGTATTTTGAGATATGAATTTGTTGCATTCAGCCATAAAATTTTAATTGTGGATTTATTTTAGTTTTGCAAATAAAATTACTCTGATGTAATTAATTGCTTTTATTTTAACAAATGATTATAGAGAAAGAGAAACTTGGATTTGCATACACCTGTAAAGGAAAGTATTACATCTGATGTCTTTCCAATGAGTAATTTCTAAGGTGGGTGAATAAATGGGCTCCAGTGTAATAATTTTTGATTTCTTCAACTTCAACTTATTTTTAGTTGACTTGGAGCATATTCGCACAGTGAAAGCTGACAAGCACCAGCGATTTTGTCAGGAAAACAATTGCAGTAGCCATTTCGTGTCAGCCAAGACAGGAGATTCTGTAAGTAAGAAAAAAACCACAAACTTGTAGATGTCTGTTGTTTTTTTTCCAAGTCACATCAGTTTTATTATACTTTATATAACAAACTCTTGAGAACTCAGGGTGCTGCTGACCCTTTTTTGCTTCCCTTGGTTGCATGAAAAGTAGATCTTTGTATGAATGTGCATTATTCCTAGTAAATTTCAGTGTCATCTGATTTTCACTTTGAGGTGCAGGTTTGGTCTGGCTTATACATCAGTGTGAGAACTGAGACCAGCTACATCTCTGTTTGTTGTCAGTCTGTAGTTTAATGTATTTCTTCATTCCAGGTGAAGTTTCATCTAGAGACCATCAATATAGAAATTTCCAGCAATTGGTAAATAATGTGACAAGACCCTGTTGCAGTAAAAGATTTAATGAGTCCTGAGCTGTGAGAGACATTCCCTTTGCAGGTCCATTGAAATGTGAACATTCTGGCATTTGTACCAGATGCTTTGCAGAGTACATTTTTGAACAATCTTTTGACTTTTTGAACAATCTTTTGACTCTGAGCTAACTGGGTTATTTGTTTTAGTTGGAAGCATATGAAAGGAAAGGTTCTTTTTCAGTTGACACTATTAGTCAAATTAAATCATATTGTATTGTTTTGCTTGATTTCTGTCTCATGCCTAATGGGTTTGTCATTCCCATAAAATGGTCTTGTATCTGTCTACTTAATATTAGTGTTGACAAGAAAGTTTACTTTATTTTAATGTTATTGAATAGTAACTTCTATTGTAATAATATAATATGTAGTGTAATAGTAGCGTAGTGAACATGTTATTGAGTGTTCAAGTACACGGAAGTATAGTCCACAAATGGAATAACTTGTTAAGGTCTTTGATCAATCTTGTGCAGTGAGCTGCCCAATTTTGTAAGATAATGGTTTTTCTGTAAAATCTAACAATATTGCTGTTACAAATGCAGCGATTCCTGATTATTTTTATAGTTTGTGTTAAATCATTGGCATATTTTTTTAAAGTGTGAAAATATGGGCTTTTTAGGCTAGAAACAGAAGAAATAAATCATAATACTACAGTTAGTAAAATGTGCATCTAATAAAATGTATTATTTTCTCAAGGAGACCACAAAAATCAGTTCATTTTATAATTGATACGTTTGTCATTGCTAATTATGACAGAAACTTTATTGCAGCTTTTTAATTAAGTCATTAATTATATCAGCATTCTACTATAAATACTGATTGTACTTTTCATAGCTTACTGTTTAAAAACAAAAAGAATTCTGAACATGCCTAGAAAACATGAAATATCTATTATATATCTAAAATATTAAATATCTACTGACAAAAGAAGTAGTTTCAATAGTTCATTTTTAGTTTCAATATGAATTTGAATTAGTCCCTTCACTGTTGCTGCTCACTGATCATTCAGAAGCTGGCGTGTTTATCCTAGACAGTGATTTGAGAAGAGGCCATCCATTGCTGCTGTGAATATAGACTAGAGGAGCCATACTCTGTTAAATGATTTGTTTTGTTTACATNCATTTGAAAGCTTTACTCTGCTTCCAATGGTTGTAAAGTGATAAAAATGAAAATATGTGTGTGTCTTGAAATGTGCATTTTACTTTTAAAAAGTTTTTGAACCACACCTTTGTGTAATTGAAAGTCTCATATGTAAGCAACTAAGCATCATTGCTTTTACTCAATCATTTTTTTATTATAGTGAATGTTTTTGCTTTGCCATGTTCTGCAATAAAATTCTTTATAACTTATTTACATTTTTACTTTGGAAGAATATGTCAATTCAGATGTGCTTGGTGAATTTATTTGGTGAAAGTCTTCAGGTTACCCTGGAATCCCCAATATGCATCTTGCTTGCAAACAGAATATGGAATATTAGTTCTGTCTTGTTTTAATATGTAGCTAGCAGTAGAGTTATTACAAAGTATTTGAGTGTATCCAGACATAAATTTGTATTTTGAGATATGAATTTGTTGCATTCAGCCATAAAATTTTAATTGTGGATTTATTTTAGTTTTGCAAATAAAATTACTCTGATGTAATTAATTGCTTTTATTTTAGCAAATGATTATAGAGAGAGAGAAACTTGGATTTGCATACACCTGTAAAGGAAAGTATTACATCTGATGTCTTTCCAATGAGTAATTTCTAAGGTGGGTGAATAAATGGGCTCCAGTGTAATAATTTTTGATTTCTTCAACTTATTTTTAGTTGACTTGGAGCATATTCGCACAGTGAAAGCTGACAAGCACCAGCGATTTTGTCAGGAAAACAATTGCAGTAGCCATTTCGTGTCAGCCAAGACAGGAGATTCTGTAAGTAAGAAAAAAACCACAAACTTGTAGATGTCTGTTGTTTTTTTTCCAAGTCACATCAGTTTTATTATACTTTATATAACAAACTCTTGAGAACTCAGGGTGCTGCTGACCCTTTTTTGCTTCCCTTGGTTGCATAAAAAGTAGATCTTTGTATGAATGTGCATTATTCCTAGTAAATTTCAGTGTCATCTGATTTTCACTTTGAGGTACAGGTTTGGTCTGGCTTATACATCAGCGTGAGAACTGAGACCAGCTACATCTCTGTTTGTTGTCAGCCTGTAGTTTAATGTATTTCTTCATTCCAGGTGAAGTTTCATCTAGAGACCATCAATGTAGAAATTTCCAACAATTGGTAAATAATGTGACAAGACCCTGTTGCAGTAAAAGATTTAATGAGTCCTGAGCTGTGAGAGACATTCCCTTTGCAGGTCCATTGAAATGTGAACATTCTGGCATTTGTACCAGATGCTTTGCAGAGTACATTTTTGAACAATCTTTTGACTCTGAGCTAACTGGGTTATTTGTTTTAGTTGGAAGCATATGAAAGGAAAGGTTCTTTTTCAGTTGACACTATTAGTCAAATTAAATCATATTGTATTGTTTTGCTTGATTTCTGTCTCATGCCTAATGGGTTTGTCATTCCCATAAAATGGTCTTGTATCTGTCTACTTAATATTAGTGTTGACAAGAAAGTTTACTTTATTTTAATGTTATTGAATAGTAACTTCTATTGTAATAATATAATATGTAGTGTAATAGTAGCGTAGTGAACATGTTATTGAGTGTTCAAGTACACGGAAGTATAGTCCACAAATGGAATAACTTGTTAAGGTCTTTGATCAATCTTGTGCAGTGAGCTGCCCAATTTTGTAAGATAATGGTTTTTCTGTAAAATCTAACAATATTGCTGTTACAAATGCAGCGATTCCTGATTATTAACAATATTGCTGTTACAAATGCAGCGATTCCTGATTATTTTTATAGTTTGTGTTAAATCATTGGCATATTTTTTTAAAGTGTGAAAATATGGGCTTTTTAGGCTAGAAACAGAAGAAATAAATCATAATACTACAGTTAGTAAAATGTGCATCTAATAAAATGTATTATTTTCTCAAGGAGACCACAAAAATCAGTTCATTTTATAATTGATACGTTTGTCATTGCTAATTATGACAGAAACTTTATTGCAGCTTTTTAATTAAGTCATTAATTATATCAGCATTCTACTATAAATACTGATTGTACTTTTCATAGCTTACTGTTTAAAAACAAAAAGAATTCTGAACATGCCTAGAAAACATGAAATACCTATTATATATCTAAAATATTAAATATCTACTGACAAAAGAAGTAGTTTCAATAGTTCATTTTTAGTTTCAATATGAATTTGAATTAGTCCCTTCACTGTTGCTGCTCACTGATCATTCAGAAGCTGGCGTGTTTATCCTAGACAGTGATTTGAGAAGAGGCCATCCATTGCTGCTGTGAATATAGACTAGAGGAGCCATACTCTGTTAAATGATTTGTTTTGTTTACATCAGATCTTTTCAACAGACTTGTTTGCAAAAGATGATTTTGTGTACATAGAAAATTCTGAAAATTGTCTCAGGGGCAAGAAAATGTAATGGAAGATTCATTATCACTAGGTGTGCTACTGTCCATCAAATCACATAGCTGAAGCATTGCTCTTGTGCTTGGTGTTTTTTGCTTGACGTTTTTATTTTTGTATCCTCAGGGCAGGTGATGTAGCTGAGAGCACCTGAGAGCTTGGTGTGGGTTAAACTAGGTCTCTGAGGCTCAGAATCTCTGTTCAGTATGCTCTTTCTTCTTGTGTAGGTATTGGTAGAACAGACCAGTACTACACCAAGGAATTGAGAGAAAGAGCAATTGTTTTGGAAGCTACCACACTTTGTTGGTTGTATCACTAATTTATTTATGGTTCCCATCTTGGGTGTTAGAAGAGATTGTGTAGATAGTACTTTTCTTAATTTTCACTGAAAATGACTGGGAGAATGTACATAGATTTATTTTTTTTTGTGTGTGGCAGCTGCATGATGCAAACCAGTGCAGCTTGGCAATACAGTGTTCAACAGCAGTGCATGCTTAAGCTGCTCCTCTTGAATATGTTATATTCTTCAATCACATTTAAAATGCAATTTTACCTAAACAGTAAGATAGATGGACTGTCTTGAGATGAATTAAAGGAATTTTTTAAGACAGCATTGCTACCCAGTATTATGTGTTTAATCATGTGTAAAGTCTTTGCCAGGCTGCTGCTGCAGGCTGTACAACATCATACTTGTTCCTAGATACTTCCATTCAGTATATGTTTTGTAAGATTCTTCAGAGCTCTTTCATACTGCTAGTTTTTGGACATACATAGTAGAGATTTTGCTGATATTGATGCACAGTTCTGTTATTCTCAGATTCAGAAACCTACATCTCTTATTTCACAATACTCTGGTAATGCATTTCTGTGCTAAACATTAGTGAATACCCTTATTCATATTATATAGCACTGAGAGTAGTATTTGAGAGGTGGTTTGTGTAAAAGCTTGTTTAAACTTAGGTCTCTGGAGGCAGAGTAGAAGTGTTGCTTAACAATCTGGCATACTGTTCATTTCTTGTACCATTGTTGAGTTATTTTCTCAAATTTTTAAACAAAATTGAAAGTACCAGATGAGGTTATTTTCAGATCTGTTTTGCACAGGTCATAATTTTGTATATAATTGTTTACTGTTCAGGAATGGTTTGATATATTTGAAAGAACCTCAAGGATGTCTGTTTTTAATCATTTAAATGCAATTTATTTTTTTTCCATAGGTCTTCCTGTGTTTTCAGAGAATTGCTGCTGACATACTCGGCATCAAATTAAACAAAGCAGAATTGGAACAATCACAGGTGATTTTCCACAAATACACAGATGTTTTTAGTATTTTATTTAGTATTAAAAGTGATCTATTGTGGATTTATAACCATTCTTTAAATCAATCTTCACCTATTGTTCTGAAGATAATTATTTGATTTCACAGCAGCTTTTTTGAAATATGATAATTCCTTATTTATCCATCATGATCAACTCTCTGCAAAAAGAAAAACATGTTCAAAAGTAAAGAAAAACTTTAGTTATAAGGATGTTAATTTAAAAATAGCACTTAAGATTAGTTTAGAAATTAAATATGTATGCATATACAAGTAGCATGGGAGTTATTCTTGATATTATATGCATGGGTTTAAACTGAAAAATTTTTCTACAACCCAGTTTCAGAATCATCAAAAAGAAAGATTATACTATTGAGGCAACCCTGTGTAATGACATTTGAGATTGCAATGATTTAAATTTACCTAATGAACCCAAATGTTGCTATTCTAATGGTATAATATCCTGGAACTGCTTTTCAATACCAGTGTTAAACAAGTACCACAAAATAAGTCCATACATTTTTTAAAATCAATTGCAAAGCATTTCTTATGTCTTGGTCTCCTTCTTCTTGAAATATACAATAAATATGTAATTTCTGAAAGTGATTTGCCACAGCAGTGTTTGCAATCTGTGTTGAAGTGGTTAACTAGAAAACTGTATTGCAAACAGTAAAATTGTAAAATGTACTTACAGAGTATACTTAACAAGCAGAGTAGTTTTAAAAAGCTGTAATTTATAGGCAGAGAAACACTAAGTGTGTGTCTTTTAAATGATCTTTTGCTACTAAGGTACCATCGATCTACTATTTTGAGGTCTGTTATTTACCTATAAATAATTGAGCTCATAGAGTTTTTCAATTTTTCTTTGGTTGTTTAGCTAGCACTGGAATATCAGTCCTGGACCTCTCTGTGCTGTGAGTGGTGTTCTGTAACTCAGGTGTAAGATTGTAGAAAGGTGTGCAAATACCTTCAATTTAAAGGAGGCTGCTAATAGGGTTATATGGAAAACTATTGTTCTAAAGAAAGGGTCTGTTTTAAGGTTGTTTTTAAAGGAAGAAGCTCCATATAGCCCTAGTTCAAGAGTACATGACTTTCTATGTCAAACTGCTGTCAGATTTAAATAGGCTTCCTTCTGCTATAGTATTGTAATTAGTTTTTAATTTTGTTGAGTAGATCAATGGAAGAGGCAATATATGGGTTAGACAAAGTTGATATTACACAAGTTGCTTTAGCAATAGCCTATAAATAGCTAATTTGCATAAATACTGGGCCATGTATTACTGTTGATGTGAATCCAGGCTCTAATTAACAAAAAAAAAAAGTAGTAAAAATATCTGAAAAACTACCACCACCAACAAAAGAACAACAAAAGAAGAAACAAAGCCAGCAAATTAATTTGGACAGAAAGGAGACTTCACTGCTGATTTTCAGGTGCAGCAGAGGTCACTACATGCTGCAACACTGTGCATGTAGCTAAAGAGTGTGAACTACTTAGTTTGCAAAGTTCTGTTAATGGATCATAATTTCAATCTATTCCAAAGAGCAATAGGTCTTTGTTATCAGTAAAACCTTTGCTTCTTTTAAGAGTGTTATGTTGAATGGGCTGTAAGTTTCCCCAGTATAAGTCAGAAACCAATGAGAATTGTACTGCAAAGTCTGTTAGCTGTATCTTAAGGGTCATTGTTGTGTGGAACCAAATACCCCCATCACTTCATAAGAACAGAAAAGGGAAAATCTCTACATGATTTGGAGCGTGAAAACTTTAACCTTCATATTCTCAGGAAGATAAATTCTCTTGAGAGAAATTCATTTGTGTGCAGTAGAAAAGCCTAATTGAAGTGATGTATAGATGCTGTTTCCCAAAAGCATGGAGTTGGTCTCTCGGCTGGAAGGAGGTGATGTTAGGACAATGTCATTATTAGTTTGCTGTTTTACCACAGACTTTTATATGAGAGGTGCAGGTCTCTTTAGTGTGGTGGTGGTGGGAGTTTTTCCCTCTTCCATCTCTAAAATGGGCACGTGTCTTCCTTAATTTGTGGGACAATTATATGACGCATGTTTCTTAAAATTTTTAGGCATTGAATACTCTAGCTACTGGGCTATGAAATTACATCAGTGGAGAGATGGACACTAGATAAAAGCTATAAAGAATCCAATAAATACAATGCAATAATAAATGTGACTCATCTGTAAAGTATACAAGTGTTGATTTGGAGTTAATCTTTAAATAAGGCGTAAAAGCCATTGTAGTTTTTACAAATGTGAACTATTTACACACTGGATTATATATTTGAGTTTTCCATATTTGTCATAATGCAATTTCTTCATTTTGAAAACTGATATGGTTCTTGCTAGAATCTGTTTGTCAGGGAACATCAGATATGTTCATTCAATCTAGGTGGTAACAAAATATAAGATTAAATACTGAATTTGTGTACAGTTACATCAGTCAAATTCTATATGTGTATTTTTTATTGTCTAATATTGAGACTATGCTTTAAAATTATTTTTAGCACTCAATTTTGTGCCTGAAAATCTTATTTCTTGTCTTTAGAGTCAGTTATGATTGTCAGTCTAGGAAGATCTTAGAAGTGACTCATAGGTGGATAGAAATAAGTAATGGGAATCCCAAACAAATTATTTTAACTTGTATGAATTTGTGTAGTTTGGCTCATGACTTTTGAGCTTTGATTTTTGGCAGAACTGCAGCTCTTGTGAAAAGTATGTGAAGTTCTTGGTCTCAGCAGCACAACTTCTGTCAATTAGCTGCAAGAACAAGCCTTAGAGATTGAATTATATTTACTTTGCATTGTTTCAGAAAACAGCTGCAGCAGTTTAAGATATTAATGCAGCCCAAGCTATTTGCTACTGCCCTTTTGTTGGAATGTATTGCTCCCACATCAGAATCAGAAAATGGAAGGTGATCATGTGCTTTGGCTACATCAGAGTGAAGTTGAGCAGTTTAGCTTAAACTGCTGCTGAAAGTTGTTTTAAAGAGAAGCTGCCAGACTTTGTGCTGAAGTGGATGAGGTGCAAGTACACGTTACATTCCACCAGCTCTCCTTTGGCAGCAATGATCTCCAGCAGAGGAATAGGACAGACATTTGGGGGTGGTAAGTTTTTAAACTATCTCAGCTAGAGCTACTAAACCTTGTCTGTTAACATGCTGAGATGACTGTTAATCAAACCTTTATTTGGACAAAACTGTGGTGAAACAAAGCACTAGATTGCTCTTCATGCGTGACTGGAAAGTAGAGCATGTTTTTTGAAATGGAACAGTTCCAAAATAAGAAAATTGCAGATTCTGACTTATTTTCAGTCCTCAAAATACCCTCCCTTTTAAATTGCAAGGGCCTGATGAAATTTGAGGAAATAGCTCCTTTATTAATCAAATGTTTTTCTTTCTGTATTTTTTACTTTCAACCGTAGTGTAAAAACTGCATGGGGTACAGCTTTGTTCCTTGGCATTGGCAAGAGCTAGCATTTTTGTAAGTGATGTGTAGTTTTCTCTCTAAGTAAATGCCAGTTCAGCAGACCAGTGTGTGTGTGCCAGCTTTGTACAATAAAATGTTTGGCAGATAAGTCAGATCTGGAATACAGAGCACCTGGACCAAGAAAGGTTATTCTCATTATTGACAGTGATTTGAACCATGGCAATGATATGTTTGATGTAGAATCTGATGCTAAGAAGCCCAAGTTTTTAATTACCGTGAAGTTAATATAAGAAATTTTGCAATGATATTTTTTAACTCTTATTTGGATGAAATTCCATTAGAAAATCCAAGTCATTTATGATTGTCAGTTTTTTGCTACAGTGTACCTAAGCATAGGTCACTAACCTGCCTGTGTTTACAGGATGGGATTTGGACCAGTGTTTGAGGAACAATTAATTGCCTACTGATTGCAGGGTTTTTTTTTTCTTTTTTTCTTGCCCCTCAGCTCTAGTCAAAAGATTGGTATGAAGAAACTAGGTCCCCTGAGGTCAGATAACGCTGTTTAATGCTAAAACTCCTACTACTGCCCTACATGGGATTTGGCAACCTTTCTCTTGATAACATCAGGCTAGGAGTCCTGTAAATCATGCATGTTGTCCACTAGATAAGATAATATGAATGTGATCAATTAAGCTCAAGAAGAGTACTTCAGCAGCTAATAAATCCAGGTCCTTTACCAGCCTATTCAATTACTGTTGCTTGTTTGACATACAGGTCTTATTTAATAGAGGTAATCTTTAACGTATACTGTTTATATATTCCTAATCCAGTTTATATATTGTTTCCTTTAAAATAATAGAATTAAATTATTTAGTCATTCATTTTAACCTTGAAAATATATTTTAGGAAAGTTGAAGTATTTAGGAAAAAATAATAAACTGGGTATCTTTCATAGCAGACTTGCCTCCTCTGCTGCTTCTTTGCTGAAATTGTTCCATGAATTTTACTTCCCTTTGCATGAACCTGGTATTGACCCTGTATGAATAATGAGAACCCTGTATCCCTTACCTATATTAATAATAAGTAAACAGTTTTGTTTGTTTGTCTTTAAGGGGTGAAATGGGAACCTTTTATTTTTAAATGAAGCAAACAAAAATCAAAACTTAAGACATTTTGATATGAAGTTGTTAATTTGGTCACTGCTTTTGGTTTATACATTTAGGTGTAATGTGATAGTTATATAATGGAAAAGATGCATGTGTACAGCTAATGCACTTGTTGCAAGCTGATAATAAAGTATTTAATGTTTAAGTATCTTTGATTTAAAGGACAAATAGGCCACTGTCATCTTTTCTTTCACTGTATTCCTTGCCTTTTTATTCTGTCTCTTCTCTAGCTTTGATACACTTTTGCTGATTGCATGTATGAGCCTTTCACTTTGGTGCTTTGAAAGGGCATGTCCTGGAAAAGGCTTGAGAAGCAGCCCTGGTGCTGAGAGTGCTGCTTTCAGCCAGAGATGTTGCTCTTCTATCTGCTTAAGGCCTTGAAAACGCACTTTCATTTTGCTTCTGCATAATCTTATGTTATCCATTCATTCTTTTCAACTACTGATTAATCTCTCCATTGTTTTCCTTCTCTTTCTTTTCACATTCTTCTCCTTGCCCTCTATCCATCATGTTGATACATGGTTAACAGAATGTTGTCAGGGCAGAACTAGTGAAATATCCCGAAGAAGATAACCAACATCACACTTCCAACTGCCAGAGCAAAGTCTGCTCAATGCAGTAGTTCAGGTATTGATGGAAAACTTGGTTTGTTTCTTTTTTATAAGCTGCATTTCTTTTACATGAAGTAACAACTGTTAAAGTAAGTTCTTTTGGAAGGTTGTGTTTTGTATGTGTAAGTTCTTGTAATACTCAACATATTATTTTGGAACTCTGTGTACAATTAATTACATAGTGTTTCTAATAATCAGATAGTTTGTAGAAACTTTGAAATGCTTCATGTTACTGTATTCAGAACTGTACAGTCAAAATATTGCATAGCTGTCTCAGATGGAAATGGATGCAAAATTGTACATTTCTGTCTTCATCATGTAGGAGAGAGCATCAGTCTTAACAAATGCTTTGTAAATAGAATGTGTAATATCTATTAGATCTATATTAGAGAATAAATAGAGTATGCAGAGCTTCTTTTTATGTTAATGTAACCTTTAGCCAGTATACCCATCTAAGCTTTTTTAAAATATGGCTGTATTTAAAATTTGCTTCGAATTCTGTCCATATTTTCTGATTAAATGCTTGGAGTAAAGACAAAAATACAAACTTAAGTACAATTTCCAGTTACAGTTTAGGCAGTTATTATTAAAGAATGAATGGCACAACTTCTGCAAATAAATTCTGTTTTATTGCTGTCATTCAGAACAATTCTCATGAAGGTAAAACTGTATTCACTGCTGTAGCAAAAAAATTGTATTCCTTTTGTAGTGTTGTGATAACCTACCAAGGTACTTGCTTCTGCTTAGCATGAATAAACTTAGAATTATAACGAGAATTAGCACCTGATGAGGCTTCTCGTAAGGTAGTGAAAAGAAAACAGGTTTGTTTGTTATTTTTCCCTTTGTATTTCATAAAAATTTGTTGACTGCTTTGCCAGCATGAAGGATTTTTTTTCCTGATTATTACTGTGTTTTCTTTTATGACAGAGGGTGGTGAAGGCAGATATTGTCAACTACAGTCAGGAGCCTGTGACAAGAAGCGTTAATCCTCCCAGAAGCTCAATGTGTGCAGTTCAGTGACCATGCTCTTCTTCTCTGGTTTGAAACCTTTGCAATCCTCCTGCCTTGACACAGACACTGGGATTACCAGGAACTTTGTTTTAACAGGGACCAGCGCAACAATGCAATTTGAGGTTTCAGAAACATGTTGCACCATTTTCCATTAAGAAGCAGCAGGCAGTTCTTTGAATGGCTGAAATTCAAACATGAGACCACACGCTTGAAAAATTGCCATCTATATTCTTTTAAGTTATATTTAAATGAAACTGTATAACTGTGTTTATATTTCCTCCTCTCTATTTGACTGATACCAGAATAAAAATGGATGAGGAAGCCCTGCATTCGAAATGCTTTTAAAGGCATCACCATGGAGTGGTATTTTGCCAAAGCATTTTTAATTTTTTTTTTTCTCCAGTTATTTGAACTGACACTCAGCAAAATGTTACTTGGAAAAGCTGTTGTTTGAATAATTTTAAACACATATTACATATTTTATCTAGGGATAAATTTGAAAGTGTTCCATTAATATATATACACTTAGCACAAAATGTATAAATTATATCCAGGGAGAAACAGTGCTTGAAATAAAGCTGTTATTATAAAAATAATTGCTTTTCTGAAGTCTCAAATTGTCTCCATGGATGCTCTGAAAAATGCTAGTGTTTTTGTGTATTTTTATTACCACATCAGCATTACTTCTTACAGTAATAGGCTTATATGTCTTTATGAATATGGATGAATCTCAGTCAACAGTTTGGTCTGTAGATGATGAGTGATATATTCAACATGCATTAGAAACTGTTGATAGATCAATTAACATCAGTCACTTTAAATAACTAACAGAATAACTTTTGGCCTGGTACTCATTTCTTTTGAATTTAGAGTAAATGACAAATAAAAAGCTGTGCGCTTGGTGATCTTTACACTTCTCCCCTGTTGCTTTTCTAGCAGTGCACAGTTCTCTGCTGGCACATCTGAACAGAAAGCTAAGGAGAGAAAAAAATCAATTCCCAAACTAGAAAACTTTTTCTGTTTAAACTCTAGAATGTGCTTTCTAATAACTACAAGGAAACATTTGAAGTTTCAGTAAGTAATGAAGCTATGAAGGAAGCTTGTATATCACAAGTGAAAAGTATGAGGTTCTTCAAGTGAATGCAACTATTAAGCTGTTCAAGAAAGTTCTTATTAGTTGGAACAATTAAATTATTAGTAGTTTAACAAAGTAGCTAAACTATTTTAACTATGTTAAAAAAAGATTTCAGGTGGCAAAACATCCTATTTATTAGCTTAACACATAATTATATAAGTCTGTGATACGACTTAGTGTGCGTTGTTTAGCATTCAGATGTGGGAAATTCTAAGAAGCTGAGATACTGAGAAATTATGCTACACTAAGGTAGGTGTGTTTTGCAGTAAATTATTTATTCTAGTCTGTATTGCTCCTTCCCATGGGGTTGATGTCCCACTGCATCACTTTACTGTATAGTTAACTGCACCTGTAAGGACAACTCTCTTTCACTACAACCAGATGAGAACTTCTCTTCAAAGAGCTTTTCTTAAGCAGTTGTTCAGTTCACAAGTTTATGGCCTCCAAGGCAGGTGGAAAGTTTTTTAAAACCTTACATTTCTTGGTGTGTTTGTGCCCTCAACTCTGCTTGTATGCTCAAATACTGACAAGAACTGCCCCCTCTGAGAACCTGAGCACAATGTGGCTCAGCAGGTGGCTGTGGTCTTTCTCTAGTTCATGCGTATCATCTTCATGGTCCTACTTCCCAAGTAAAAGGTAGCATGGTCTTAACAACTACTTGGGTTGTTTATTTATTTATTTATTTTTTAAACACTATTGTTGTTTTACTTTTGAAAAGAAAGTGCTTTTTCATGACTTCATATGCAGAGTCCATTTTTACCTTGAATAATAAAAAATTTTTGCTTTTGCATTTTGGTATCTTGCAGTATGAAAGATGTTATATGTATCCCAGCCCAAGCTGTTTTACAGGTGGATTTTGTGTTGGTCTCATCTCACGTTTTTTTATTCTCAGTACCTAGTTTTCTAGCTGTCTTTGACTTGTACATCCTTTTGTATTTTATCTGTCTTGATCTTTTCACCAAACTGCTATGTTAAAGGCCTACCTCCTCTGAAGATATTTTTGTTTATGTTTCCAGACTGCCCTCATTCTTCCTCCCTAACATACCTGAATATTATTTACGCTAACCAGGAATCTCCTCTCTTGTGTGCCCTCAGCCCCTCCTTTTGCTGCCCCTCTTAACCTCCTCAGCTTTTTGTATTGTATACTGACTTCCACTCTCTCTGCTTTTCCCTCCCCTTCCTGCCCCATTGAGATCCATTACCTGTCCACCTTTTAATCCTTACAAATGAGCTTTGCTCTTTTTGCTCAGCCTTGGGGACCCCACCTTGAGCCATGGAATTCCAGCTGCAGTCTAAATCCTTGGCTGTGGTAGCTGCCTTTGAAGTGCTGCAGCAGCTGCGGTTGAAGATGCAGCACTGCTGTTGCTGGTGCTACGGCTCAAGTTCCTCCAGGTGGAGCAGAAAGGTCAGAGATGATTCTGGAGGATTAAAGGGTATGGAGAGAGGGAATAGACAGTGTTCTGCAGGGAAGGCAAGGACTCTGGTGACTGGAGGGATAGACACTAATACAGAGAAGGACTGTGTAAGGACTCTGGGTCTGGTTGCCTTCTGTAAGTAATGTCCTCCTACTACTGATTCACATGGTTCATGTGTAGTAGAGTTGAATTGTGCCATATAAATGTACTTTAAAAGTTTTTTCCCAGGCGAGACCTGGTGGAAGGAAATTCACTGAACAATTACAAAGTAAAAAAATGCAATGCTCTTCAAAAGTGAGGCAACATGTGCTTAATGTCCACTGACATGGGGAGTGGGCTGGGACAAGTGAAACGTGTTTTTTGTGAAGCTGAGGCCAGATGAAGGGAAGAAACATGTTCAGGCCCTGATCTTACACAGATGCATACTGGTGATCTGCCTGCTCAGAGTTGTTGTAACTAATCATTTCAGTAACAGCTCTGCAGTTAAAGGTTGTTGCTAAGTTCAGCTTGCTAAGGTCAGTCTCCATGATGTGGTGGATGCCAGTAGGTTCATTGTGTCTGGCTGCATGGTAGAGTATCAGTGCTTTTAAAACACCCATCTGAAGCATTAGACTCATGCAACTTCTTGTCTTTTGTGGTTCTAAAGTTTGGTGGAGTCAAATTGAGTCTGTTTCACAAACAGCAGTGTGAAGTTATTTTTCCTTGCAACCAGATACTGTGAGTGCCAGAATCTGTGATGAGTTCATGATCTCTCTGAATACATTGTTCTTTTGACAGTTCATAAAAGTCATAAAAACATGTGAAGCTGCTTTTTAAGCAAACTTTTTTTTCTTTTTAAAACACATTTTTTAGACAAGTACAAGGTCACTGTGAAATTATGTGAAATATGCTCATTTGAGGAATTTGATAATTTTCAGTGCTATCTATTTGCATCATTAGGCATCTGAAAACCCCCTTTTCTTCAAATCACTGCTTGATTTTTCACTGGCAGAAAAGGGCTTTTCCATCAGGCAGATTCTTTTAAATGCAAAGTTAATTTGCTTTTCAGCAGGTGCACCTGATAGCCTGATATCAAAAATGTTATTATAATTTTGTAAACAAAAATATTATAGTAATATTTGAAGTTGGTTATTCTGCTTTTTTCTGAGAACGGAAATTTAGAGAAATTGCAGTTGTATTATTCTTTTTTGCATTTATGTTATCAGGAATATGGTTTCTTTTTCACAAAAATTTATAATCTTCATGATGTTCTTGACATTTTTACAAAGTTATAGTAGAGTGTACTTCTTAGTAAGTAAATATTGGTATATCTTACTTGGGCTATACTGTGCTGCTAATGTTTTGACAGAAGATTAAAGTGCTGTTCTGTAACATAGCTAACAAGTTTATAATAATGGGAAATTTTCTGCAGGGGAATTTTTCCTATTTAGAATACTTACATGCATTTCTGATGTAGCTTAACAGTTTGTATGAGGTGCCTGATGTATTTAAAGCAACATTGACTTTTATAGAAATTATATTTACAAAGCTGGCATGATTAACTATTTTTCTTTCTGGAATTTGCACATTATTTCCCAAGCAAAGATGTTATTCTACAATGGTGTATTCTTTTCTTTCTCAGTTCAAATACTACTGCTTAACATATAATCTGATTTCTTTAGGCTGTCTTTATTTAAAACCAGCTCACAACCACTTAAAATGTCAAAATAGCTGAATGTTGCTGAAAAGAAAAAGCCAGAAGTTATCCATGTTTGCATAGGAGTAATGGCATACATATAAGATTAAAACTCCAGTCCAGATAATTATCTGTAGGAAGCAAATTTATACTCTGATTTCAGATGCTATGAATAGAATGTGATTAGAATTTAATGTGCTGCAGTTTTATTTGCAAAATACACAGGTCCTGTATAAAACCTCTTTTTATAAAGTACTCTCTAGAAGCCTTGGGGATCCCTGTTTAACTTGCAAATGCCGAAGTTTGATCTTCCCCAAATAGAAGATAGTGAAGCTCCTGAGTTGCATGAACTGATTTCTATTTTCAGCTTCCCATAGAGAGCTGACTGTTCAGCCAATTTAAACTCTTTTTTTTCTACTCTACTTCATCTTCATTCATTTTGGCACCATTTTGAACTGGAAAACTTCTAGTTAGCTAATTGGCCATTTGCCTTGTTTTATGTGGGGGTGATGTCAAGTGCAGAAATAACCGATTGACTGAAAGCAATCTTGTTTCAAAGGCTGGTCAGAACCAAACCTCAGAAGGTACAAATTTCAGGTTTGTTTTGTATTTAACTGCTACACAGCAGTCCTTATCCTAGTGGACGAACCTCAGAGAATAATATAGATTTGAGGTCAAGAGCTTGTGTTTGCTCAGATACCACATTTAGAGCAGTGAATTCTGGAGGAAGTAGGAATCCAGATCTTTTTTTAATATCACTTTCAAGACTTCCTCTGCTTCTACTCTATAATGTCATACTAGCAAGCAATGTTTTTAAAAAAATATTAATTTAAGTCCTCATTTTAAAAACAAAATGTGGTAAGTATACTTTGGTTCAGGAAAGTTTTTCTTTTAAGGATGAGTGGAAAAAATTTCTTGTTGTATGAAATATCACTGGCATAGTTTAAGATATTTAATACACATTAAAAATCATATTTGGTTGTTATGATCTGTTAAATATCCTATATTCTTCTTTCTACTTTTTTTATTTAAAATATTCTTTAAAACTATAATGATTATAAATAGAAAACAAAATATCAAAGCAGTTAATTAATTTGTGCCTCAGAAAAAGTCCTTCAAACTGCTTCAGGCAAACATTTTTCCTTTGCTTGCTAAACTCCGTTTCTGTCCTTTCCTGGGCTGATCCATACCAGGTAGCTTGGAGGATCATGACCTACTAATCCTTTTTGATTTCTGGTGAGCTTTTAAAAACAAAGTAGACCAAGAAACATCAAAGGAGGATTTAAAAGACACACACTGTGCCCTGAAAAGTAAATGTTGCTTTGGAAAGCATTCTCTCCTTGTAAAAAGAGGTGAATGCTGTGGTTCTATACTATTCACCAAAAACACTTAAGCATATGCTCAAAATTAAGCATGTCTTTAAGTTCCCTTGAAGTCTATGCTGTTTAAGTACACACTTGAAGCTAAATATATTCTGTCATACTCTGCTGACACAGAAATTCTGGCTCCATTGAAATAAATGCCTTTGAGGCTAAAGTTCTTTCAGGAATTTCAGTGTTGTTTCTTAAATTTTCTACCCATTGTAAAGGGTATAAACTAAAGCCACTCCCAAGTTTAAAAAAAAAAAAAAACTGTTTTTGGAACAAATGCTTCTCAGATCCATAATGAATCAGAAACAAAAGAATCTGGAGGTGCTTGACAAGTCTCATTGCAAACTGAATTCCAACTGATAGTGCAGGAAAACATATCGAGTTCCCATTTGTAGTGTCTGAATTGCAGATCTGACATGGAGGATAAACAAGAGCTGGTACTTCTTACTCAGATTTGGGGAGGTATTTGATCACCATCTTGAAAATAATGAAGTGTGATTTCTGGAAATATTCCAGTATTTGTCAAAGAATGGTGAAGCAATGTTTAACTGCATAATGGAAACTGGAGAGAAATGTTGACATCCCACTCATCAATCCAATTGCTTTTTTATCTCTCCACTGTCTTGGAAAGAGAGCAAAGTGTAAACCAACATTTGGCACAAATGGGCCGTGTGTGCCATTTAGGAGCAATTTGCATGCAATTGGTAACAGTTATACAGACAACCCATTTATAACAGGGAGTGAGCTCACAACCTAGCGTAAACTACAAGAAAACTAATCATATCCCCCAGGAGTCACACACTGATGTAAGAAAGGAAATGGAAGTTTTTCACTTTAACCTCTTAACTGGTTTTATCAGCCAGAAATTCAGGGATGCAAATAAGCCTGTACTCAACAGGTTATACATTCTCAAAAGTGCAACATGTGTTTGTGCCAATTAAGCTTGAATGTAATCAGGAGTCTTAAAGAGGGTACTCTCTATCTTTTTGATTTTCACTGTAGTTCTGCTGATCTTCCTGACTAAATGACCAACCTTTAAAAGCTGAGAATTTAACTCTGCTTCCATGTGGTCAGCTGCTGAAGTGATGAGGTGGCTTTCCAATCCCCTCACAATCCCTGGTACCACACAGGTCCCCGGCAGCAGAGACTGAGGTGACAGGTAGTGGTGACACGGAAGTGCAGCTGAGCAGGCTTGGAGAAGCTTCAGCCAGATACTGCAATTGGGGAAGTGTAAGTTCCTGAGATACAATTAGTTTGATTTGTACTTGTCAGCAGCAGTTGAATGTCTTCCACTGTCTTTTGGATAAGACACCAGCTGACTTTTTAA